TATTATCATATAATATTATTATTATTATTATTATTATTATTATTATTATTATTATTATTATTATTATTATTATTGTTGTTGTTGTTGTTGTTGTTGTTGTTGTTGTTGTTGTTGTTGTTATAATATATTAGTATAACACAAAATGCAATTCCGTGCAAATTGGTTCTGGTCATGATGGAACCCTGTTTGTGTGGGGCTGTGAAGTCATGTAAGCAGGGGGAGCAGAGTTGCGGGCGCAGGGGGGGAGCAGAGTCAGGTGAGAGAGAGGTGGAGTCCTGCCCAGCGGAGCTGAAAATTAGAAGGAACATTGGCTTGTAAACCATGGAGAGTTCATGTGTTCTGTGTCATTCTGATGAAAACATCATCGCACACTGAGGGTTGGGGTGGACTAATGTTTCCTTGCAGTTGTGTTACACTTGGGCACCTTAATAATACAATGAATTTTGGGGGGTAACATCCATCCTCCTCTTGACTCATTTTGGTTTTTATGTTCTGCTCCCAGGACATGGTGCTTCTTGACATGTGTGTGAAGTTTCAGCCCAACACAATCACTGCCGCCTTCAGGTTTGGGAGAATGTCCATGTTTGGGTTTTGGGCTGGGCTTTCAAAAATGCAGTAAGAATATCCTAAAAACAGCATGATTCCAGAAACTATCCTCTGCAAAAAATACCCCATAACATCACGCTTGAAGCTGGGAACTGTCCCAGATCTAACATTACATTCTGGACTATGGACAACCTCCCTCCTTGGAGTAGGGACAGCTTCTCCATGATCCAAAACTATGGATTTTTGGCATGGCTTGAAACCACTATGTTCTGCTCCCAAATGTGCCATTTTGCAACTGGCACCGGCTTTCAACCCATCATTTTGTGATTCGCTTCATCTTGGAAGGTCCGAAATAAAAAAACAAAGCAAAAACCCTCTATCAGTTGAAGTTTGCCCTGTCTGGTTCTACATACACAACGGCACACTATCAAAAAGAGAGAGAAATACACACTTAACAACAAGCTAAATTTAGAACAAGGGAGGAGAAAAAGAGCATAAGTCAATTTTACAATTTCCAGGAGGTAACTACTGTATGTATATGGTTAATCTGTAACTGAAAAAGCAGGAACTCAGATTAGGATCTACTGAAAAGCAAGTAGCATTAGGCACACATTAACAATCAGGCTGGTATACCAACTGGCTGGCTATTCAAAATGAGTTTCCTATTATACATTTTCATCCTCTGTGAAGTAGCACACAGTTTATTCCTCCATATATGATTGATTTCCCAGTCAAAACAGGAGAATATATCACACTCAGCCCAAATCCCGTGTCACTCACAGATGACTTAGTTGCAACTACAGTGGTGCCTCGCTTAACGGGCGCCCCGTTTAATGACGAAACTGCATAGGGATGAAGATTTTGCGATTGCTTTCGCGATCGCATTGAGATGTTTTAAATGGGAAAAAATCACTTTGCGATGATCGGTACCCTGTTTCGCTTACTGATCATCACAAAGCGATGATTTTTTAACAGCTGATCGGCAGTTCCAAAATGGCCACTGCGTAAACAAAATGGCTGCCCGTTGTGTTTTCGCGCCGATTCCTCACTTACCGGGCAGCAAAAATGGCGGCCGTATGGAAGATTTTCACTTTAAGGTGAGTTTTAAGCCCACAGGAATGCATTGAAGGGGTTTCAATGCATTCCTATCGGCTTTTTAAAATCGCATAGCGATGAAATCGCATAGCGATTATTGTCGCTATGTGAGGCACCACTGTAATTGTTTAAATATATACTTAAAATATTAAGAGCAGACACCCATCATTTGCTACTGAGAGCTCCTCTCTTGATCTTCCAACTGCCATTCCTGGTGTCTACAGAGAGAAGAACATGTAATCTCTGAACATATTTCCTCTCTTCTCTCCTTTATTCCTTGTGTGTTAATTCTTGCACTTTAGACAATAAGCCTGAGGGTGTAGGTTGTTTCATTAACTACGTATATTGTAAGCGGATTAGGGAGCCCCTCCCTTTTTTTAATTAAAACAATACGAAATACACCTACTACTACAGAAAAAAAACCTATAAAATACAAAACAAAACAGTACATTTACCCATGTGCACCCATCACCTTCAGGACTAGCATTACACTTCATTCCATCCATTTTCACTCCAAAATTTCATTGTTTCTTCTCTCGGTGTAAACCCCCTCCCTCTCCGAAATACATGTTCTAAAAATACATTCCATATTTTCTTAAAATCGTTATTTTTCATTTGGCCTCTACTTATTTTCATATCACATGTCAGTTTATCATTAATAGCCATGTCCCATAATTCTCTATACCATTCCTCCAGGTTAAATTGATTTTCATTTCTCCAATTCCTTGCCATGATTATCCTTGCTGCCGTAATCACTATTACTATTAAATCCTTATTTTCTTTTGCCAGTTGATCTTTAATCATATTCAATAAAGCTATTATTGGAGACATTGGAATATTCAATCCAATTATTTCAGATATTTCTTTAAATATTAATTTCCATTCTTTCTTTCTAGCCCCTCCCTTTTTTTTGGCTCAGGGATGGAATAAATAAATAGGGAATAAAAAAATGAATAGGACTGGTTCGAGGTTTGAAAGGCAATGTCCTCCTATGTCAACAACCACAACAACCACAACTGTACCTCAAATACATGTTACCGGAATTCCCGAGCACCAGATAAAGAGATACCACTAAAATCGCTAAGACTTAAAACAGGGTTGGCCAAAGAGTGGCCACATACTCCTTTCTAAGACACCCTCCCTATCATCATCATTGTCTTCATCATCGTCATCATCACCATCATGAAAATGGTCATTCATGCCCTTCAGCTGCACAGCTGAATGGTATTCTGAACTTCATAGGCCTTTTTCAAAGTTCAGTGATTGACAAATTGTTCTACTTTTCTCTTTAAAATATATCTTTCCATAAACAGGTAGTGGTGAGGTAGAGGATCCCAGGAACTAAGGGTGCAGCCCACTGAGGTCTGAGGAAGGCCAAAAATGGAGCTAGACTGGTTAAGTTGCCCATTCCTACTTGAAAAGGAAAAGCTCACCAAGGACAAACCCAACAATGGCTCTTAACCAATATGGCTGCATTGACAGAGGTGATATGGTGAGGGGCTGGACATTCAGTGGAATAGGATTACACCCTTCACGGTGTGCCTGTGGACTTCCAGAAGCATCTGACTGCCACAGTGGGAAACAGGATGCAGAGCATGAGGAACCTCTGGCCTAACTGAGGAAGGCTTTTTTGACTACCTTACTTTTCACCTCAACAGATGGGAAACCTTAGGAATGGACCCCAACAGATGGGAAACCTTGACCTCTGAGCGTTCAGCCTGGAGGCAGGCGGTGCATCACGGCCTCTCCCAATTTGAAGAGACCCTTGTCCAGCAGGCCGAGGCAAAGAGGCAGTCCCAAAAGCAGCAAAATCAGGGAGCTAGATGGGGTACAGATTGTATTTGTCTTCAGTGTGGAAGGAATTGTCACTCTCGAATTGGCCTTCTCAGCCACACTAGATGCTGTTTCAAGTCCCCTCGTTACCATAGTCCCTCGAGACTGAAGGACGTCTACACCTTTCATAGGTCAGGAAGACGCTGTCAGATCTAATAGTCTCTCAAGACTGAAGGATGTCTACACCTTTCATAGGTCAGGAAGACATTGTCAGATCTACCATCAATCTGTCCAATGCTCTTAAACACCACTCTAATGTCTATAATAATATCTACAAACTAATTATGGATTCCATGTAGAATACATTTTGTTTCTTTGTCTAGAATTTACTGAATTTAATTAATCAGATAATTCTGTATCCCATTGTTATCTGAGAAAGAAAACAATCTCCCTGCTCCCTAGGAGAACATGTTATCACAAATTCTTCTATATTAAAAAACCTAATGAAATGGACTTACACTGTGGAAGCGTATAACTTCCTTTTAATTATGCACCACAAACCTTGCTCCTCTTCTAACTTCTGCAGTAATTTTTTGAAGAAGGAAAGAACCTTTTACATTTCTAGAAGCCTCAAAGATGTCCCTTGCCTTTCAGCCTTTATATTCAAGACTGTTTGTGCGCAATTCCCTTTAAATTGGCACTCCTGAGTAGTAATGAACCAAAACAATATTATCAGAAAGAAGGCAAAGGACTCATACAAATAACATGTATGTCTGCCTGCAAATGCCATTAATATGTAACTTCTGTACTTTAAAACTAAGGACCAGCTTGGAACTGAAAAACTGATCAATCTATGGATTTCAGATTATAAAAACACAAATATGTCACATTTACATTATTTATTCCTATTTCACTTCCGCTGTCCTCCTTTAAGGCAAGGCTGAGATGCAGGGTACAAATTCCCAGCGCTCAATGGCGCTGCCAGGACCACTTATGAGAACTGCCTCGCTGAAGCACTGCATTCCACAGAGAACAAGATCAGCATGCTTCTCTGGCTTTTGCCCCCTGGAGCTTCCAAGGCTTATACACAAACAGCATGGCAG